CTGAGAAAACAAACTTTGTGTTTTTGAAACCATTAGTGAAAAGGTCATACTTCAGGGGTATCTGAGGCAGGCTTGAAACACAAGAGTCAGGGTGGCTTCTGGGTAATACCAGATGGCTAGGCCTCAGACTGACGAAGCCTCTTGGATGAGGGGCGAAACGTTTCTTTTTAACAAAAAAACGAAGTCCAGATGACATGATTCAACCTTTTTTGTTGTTATATACCTGGATGACTGAGAAAACAAACTTTGTATAAGAGGACATAGATCAGACAGTAACATCAGATCAAAGTAAATTGTATAAAATGTATATCAAGAGAAAAATGAAATAAAACCAACTCTACAAAGTGCTAAAAGCTGAGGCAAAGAGGAAGGTTTAAAAAGAGGCCTCTGTGAGGGGCAGCTTGTCCAGTTCAGGATCTGCTACAGGAAAATCATGATTACCCCTTCTCCCCTGGAGCTCAAGCCTGGTGTTTGGTTATTGATTCACACAATGTTCTATTTCCACCAGAACTTGGAGAAGAACATCTCCCTGTATCAGTGTGACTTGTTCAGCTTCTCCAGGTGAGACATTGTCCTCACTTTAGGATTGTTTCTGATAAATGCTCTCCTTCCGTTTAAGTTGTTGTTTTCTGCTGGCAGCTCTGTTGGAGGTCAGTTTGGAGCAATCTGGGACCGAGGATCTCTAGTGGCCATCAACCCAAAGGACAGAGAGAGGTGAGACCAGATCCAAACATTTTGAACAGAAACTTCTCATTAGCAGGGTTTGGTTTGGTGATGTCTAATTCCTGGATTTTGTAGGTATGCTGCTCTCATTATGTCTCTCATGGCCTCAGACTGCCGTTACCTTTTGGATACACTCCTGTACAATCCTGAGTTCTACAAAGGTTCGGTTCTGCAGAGACCAACTCATGTCTGCGTCTAAAATCCATTTTTACTCTGAAACCCCTGAAAATGCTGCAGGTTTGACTTGTTTGTCTTGCAGGTCCTCCATTTTTTGTCCCTGATGAGCAGGTCCAGGATCTGTTTGGTGAGTACCCCTTTCAGTTCTGATGGTTCTGCTGGGTCATACACAGTCCGACATGTTTAACCCAGCAGGGTGAAGGTGCTGCATAATTCTTGAGTTCTGACCTTCAGATGCTTTTATGGGACAAAAACAGCTACATTTATTTTTGTTCATGTTTTTACTTATTGATAAAAGATGACGATCGCTCTTGACAAATGCTGAAGTCTTTTAAGGAAAGTTACTTTTTCTGTTGTTTCAAATTCTTCTGTAAGTTTTTGTTACTGCCCTCTAGTGTTCATTTGGGGAAACAACCCACCTTATGATCAGGTTAGCTCACACAAGGTCAACAGTGCAATGAAATGTTAAGGATGAGAACTGTCTTGACTCGCCAAAAAAAAAAAAAAAAAAAAAAGCATGCAGCAACAATACTAAAATCATTTTAAAAAGACTACTAAAATACTAAAATCATATTAAAAATACTACTAAAATCATACTAGAAAATACTACTAAAATCATAATATAATACTAAAATATTAAAATCATACTAAAAATACTACTAAAATCATACTAAAAATACTACTAAAATACTAAAATCATACTAAAAATATTACTAAAATCATATTAACAGTACTACTAAAATACTAAAATCATACTAAAAATACTACTAAAATACTAAAATCATGCTAAAAAGACTACTAAAATCATATTAAAAATACTACTAAAATACTAAAATCATACTAATACTACAAAAATACTAAAATCATACTAAAATACTACTAAAAGCATACTAAAAATACTACTAAAATCATACTAAAAATACTACTAAAATCTTACTAAAATACTACTAAAATCATACTAAAATACTACTAAAATACTAGAAAAATACTAAAATCTTACTAAAAAGACTACTAAAATCAAATTAAAAGTACTACTAAAATATTAAAATCATATTAAAAATACTACTAAAATCATACTAAAAATACTACTAAAAATACTTCTAATATATTAAAAATACTACTAAAATACTAAAATCATACTTAAAATACTACTAAAATAATACTAAAATTACTACTAAAATCATACTAAAAATATTACAAAAATCATACTAAAAATACTACTAAAATACTCAAATCATACTAAAAAGACTACAAAAATACTCAAATCATACTAAAAGTACTACTAAAATCATACTAGAAAATACTACTAAAATCATAATAATATAATACTAAAATATTTAAATCATACTAAAAATACTACTAAAATCATACTAAAAATACTACTAAAATACTAAAATCATACTAGAAATATTACTAAAATCATATTAACAGTACTACTAAAATACTAAAATCATACTAAAAATACTACTAAAATACTAAAATCATGCTCAAAAGACTACTAAAATCATATTAAAAATACTACTAAAATACTAAAATCATACTAAGAATACTATTGAAATACTAAAATCATACTAAAATACTACTAAAAGCATACTAAAAATACTACTAAAATCATACTAAAAATGCTACTAAAATCATACTAAAATACTACTAAAATCATACTAAAATACTACTAAAATACTAAAATACTACAAAAATAATAAAATCATACTAAAAAGACTACTAAAATCAAATTAAAAGTACTACTAAAATATTAAAATTATATTAAAAATACTACTAAAATCATACTAAAAATACTACTAAAATCATACTAAAAATACTACAAAAAATACTTCTAAAATCATATTAAATATACTACTAAAATACTAAAATCATACTTAAAATACTACTAAAATAATACTAAAATTACTACTAAAATCATACTAAAAATATTACAAAAATCATACTAAAAATACTACTAAAATCATATTAAAAATACTACTAAAATACTCAAATCATACTAAAAAGACTACTAAAATCATATTAAAAGTACTACTAAAATCATACTAAAAATATTACAAAAATAATACTAAAGATACTACTAAAATCATACTAAAAAAACTACTAAAATCACATTAAAATACTACTATAATCATACTAAAATACTTATAAAATCATACTAAAATACTACTAAAATCTTGTTAAAAATTCTACTAACATCATACTGAAAATATTACAAAAATCATACTAAAGATACTACTAAAATCATACTAAAAAGACTACTAAAGTCACATTAAAATACCACTATAATCATACTAAAATACTTCTAAAATCATATTAAAAATACTACTAAAATATTAAAATCATACTTAAAATTTTAAAATCATTAAAAAGACTACTAAAATCATACTAAAAATATTACAAAAATCATACTAAAGATACTACTAAAATCATACTAAAAAGACTACTAAAATCACATTAAAATACTACTATAATCATACTAAAATACCTCTAAAATCATACTAAAATACTACTAAAATACTGAAATCATACTAAAATACTACTAAAATACTGAAATCATACTAAAAATACTACTAAAATCATACTAAAAATACTACTATAATCATACTAAAATACTTCTAAAATCATACTAAAATGCTACTAAAATACTAAAATCATACTAAAAAGACTACTAAAATCACATTAAAATACTACTATAATCATACTAAAATACTTCTAAAATCATATTGAAAATACTACTAAAATATTAAAATCATGCTTAAAATTCTAAAATCATTAAAAATACTACTAAAATCATACTAAAAATATTACAAAAATCATACTAAAAATACTACTAAATTCATATTAAAAATACTACTAAAATCATACTAAAAAATACTACTATAATCATACTAAAATACTTCTAAAATCATACTAAAATACTACTAAAATACTGAAATCATACTAAAAATACTACTAAAATCATACTAAAAATACTACTATAATCATACTAAAATACTTCTAAAATCATACTAAAATGCTACTAAAATACTAAAATCATACTAAAAATACTACAAACCGGATTCCAAAAAAGTTGGGACACTAAACAAGTTGTGAATAAAAACTCAATGCAATGATGTGGAGATGGCAAATGTCAATATTTTATTCGTTTTATAACATAGATGACAGATCAAAGGTTTAATCTGAGTAAATGTAACATTTTAAAGGAAAAATATGTTGATTCAAAATTTCACAGTGTCAACAAATCCCAAAAAGTTGGGACAAGTAGCAATAAGTGGCTGGAAAAAGGAAATTGAGCATACAACGAACAGCTGGAAGACCAATTAACACTAATTAGGTCAATTGACAACATGATTGGGTATAAAAAGAGCTTCTCAGAGTGTCAGTGTCTCTCAGAAGCCGAGATGGTAAGAGGATCACCAATTCTACCATTGTTGCGCAGAAAGATAGTGCAGCAGTACCAGAAGGGTGTTACCCAGCATAAAATAGCAAAGACGTTTAAGTTATCATCATCAACCGTGCAAAGACTTTTGAGTTATCATCATCAACCGTGCATAACATCATCAAAAGATTCAGAGAGTCTGGAACAATTGCTGTGCGTATGGGTCAAGGCTGTAAAACTCTACAGGATGCTTGTGATCTCCGGGCCCTTAAACGTCACTGCACCTCAAACAGGAATGTCACTGTCAAAGAAATAACTGAATGGGCTCAGGAATACTTCCAGAAAGCGTCGTCAGTGAACACAATCCACCGTGCCATCCGCCGTTGCCAGCTGAAACTCTACAGTGCAAAGAGGAAGCCATTTCTAAGCAAGCTCCACAAGCTCAGACATTTGCACTGGGCCAGGGTCATTTAAAATGGAGTGTGGCAAAATGGAAGACTGTTCTGTGGTCAGATGAGTCACGATTTGAAGTTCTTTATGGAACACTGGGACGCCATGTCATC